AAAGGATGAATCTAAAGAGTGCAAGCATATTCCTGCTCTACCTTTTCCTCAAAAGTTATATAGAGAAAAGTCGGACAAGAAATTTGAGAAATTTCTAGATATGCTGAAACGGGTTATTGTAAATTTTCCATTCACAGATTTGCTCTCCCAAATAATAGCCTATGCCAAATTCTTGAAGGAGATCCTCACAAAGAAGAGGAAAATAGAAGAGACCTCAGTGGTCAAGCTCAAAGAGCATTGCGGTGCGATTTTGAAAAACAAACTCCCACAAAAGTGTGGAGATCTAGGGAGTTTTACTATACCTTACTCTTTAGGCTCTATTAATTTTGATAAATCTTTATGTGATTCTGGTACCTTAATTAACTTAATGCCACTATCTATTTACAGGAAACTAGAGAAGGAGATTGGAGAGATAAGGTCAGTGCCAATATGTTTGGAGCTGGCATACCAAACGACTCTAATACCCGAGGGGATAGTGGAAGATGTCTTAGTTCGGGTAGATAAATTCGTATTTCCTGTAGATTTTATAGTAGTGAATATGGAGGAGAACAAAGAGGTCCCCCTCATCTTAGAAAGACCATTCTTAGCAATGTGTAGATCTATACTAGATATAAATGAGAGCAAGCTCATGCTTAAAGTGGGTGAGGAGACTGTAACTTTTGAGATGAATGTAGAAACGGGGGTGAAAAAGGAAAAAACAGCTGCTAGTGTTGAGTGGAAAGTGAAGGGCTCAAAAGAGAAGGCTGCATTGAGTGAGAAATGTAAGTGTGGGGTACACCCCAAGAAGGCGGAGAAGAAGTTGTCTGCATGGATGTGCGCATTAGTTCGAAGGTGAGGAATGGATCCCAACTTCGACTCAGACCCCAACTAGATGTTCCGGGAAGTTTACTTTACCTTATGCTTTTTAATTGTGTATCATTGGGACATGCCACACCTTAAAGTGTGGGGTGGGGGATATGTTGTATGTTGTATGTATGTGTTAGTTTTGTTAGTTTTAGTAGTTAGAGATTTTAAAAAATTAACATTTAAAAAAAAACAATAAAAATTGAATAATTCTCGATTTTTCCCGATGATGGATATCATTCGACGGGTTTCCTGAGGGATTAAATTCGAAAGAAAAAGACAAAAATATTTTCTTTTGTTAGGTAGTGTATTATTTCCCTCTTGGTTTTACTTAGGCTCAGTTTTTGACTCTTGTATAAGTACCTTAAATTGTTTGATCTTAACTTTGCTTAACTACTTTGACTAGAGTATCTTGATGAGTCTGATCCTGAGTAAGTTATGTGCCATGTGTGTGTGAGGTTTTGTGTTATTTTGTAAATTGCATTTGATGTCAAGAACTTGCCTCGTGTGTTGCAAAGCGAAATGGTAGTTTTGTTCAGTCTTGGAAGTGATTTCGGCATTTCTTTGTTGAGCTAGTTATAAGATATTACCCACCTAATTGTTATGTATCTTAGTTAACCCCGTTGAGCCTGTAATCTTGTTTCTTTGGCAACCATATTACAAGCCTTACTCATTTGTTTGAATTGACCATCTATTTGAACCTTTTGCCTCTCGTGAGCACTTAAATTTGTTATGAACTTTGCAAAACTGGAAGTGTGGGGTGGTTAGTTTGGCTTTTGAGTGGAACTAATAAAATAAGGAGAGAGGTGCAATGTTTTGAAAAATTAAGAGCCACTTGAATTGAAAAAGAAAGAAAAAAAAATAAGTTTATAATTGTGAAAAATGTTCCTTAATAGTGGACTCTTGATGTAATTGTGCTTAAAGAAGTAGGGAGTTAATGTATATTGATGTGAAGGTAGAGTTTTAGTTTGAGATAAGTGTGGGGTTTTGAACAATGAAATGTATATTTATTAAAGTGCATAGGGAGATGTAGTCACTCTTATATCTAAATGTATCCTACCCATCCCACAGCCTACAGTACAACCAAATAAAGTCCTACTTAATCCTTGACTGAATTAGCTCGATTAGTAGAGTAGTACACTATGGGCAAGCCTATGGTGCATCTTTTATGGCATATGAATGTTATTTCTGAGAGTGAGCGAATTCTTTCTATCATGAGTTTCTAATTGTTCTTGATTTTCATTGTGTGTGGAACTACTCTCTATTGTTGTGCGAGGGCACTTAATTCATGAAGGAAAGGTAATGTCGTTGACCTCTGTGTTAGAGTAAGTGAGCGGGTTATAAATAATGCATGGTGCTTTAGAGTCAAATCTTGAGGCTAGGATGTTACGGTATTGTACTTAATCTGTTTTAAATATTATTGGTGTGATGAGTTATGAGAGTTGTTTAAAAAAGTCGTGTCTATGTGAAGTGTAGTTTGTTTGCTCGAGGACAAGCAATGGTTTAAGTGTAGGGTGTTTATGGTAGGCTATAATCTCGTATTTTAGTCGCTTATTGCACCCTAATTTATTGCACTTTTATTGTGTTTGAGCTTTAATCGCTAGTGTTTTGTACTTATTGTGTGTTTATGTCTTGTAGGAGTGATTCCGACCTATGTAGATGTTATGTAATGAATTCGAGTGATTTGGAGCTTTGAAGTCTGAGTAAAAGCCCAAGAGATTAAGCCGGGATCGTGTTCGGGGGTCCAGGACCAAGTCTGGACGTCAAAACGCAAAACAAAACCGTACTCTGAGAAACCCTCACTAGTGCGGCGCGTGGCGCTCCACGAATGTGCAAAATTCCTTCTTACTATCAGAAATAACTCTCTGGATTTACCCACCAATGCCCCACATGGCGCGTCGCCCCATGCAGCAAGCTTGTGCAATATTTACAGAGTGACAATCCTATTTCGGCTAGGAGAAGGTGATTTCGTCTGGGCCTGAGCCTACTTGGTATAAATACATGGAAAAATATTATTTTCTGGACTTTTGACATATTGGATACCTAGGGAGGCTAAGTAGGTGTTGGAGAAGCAAAAGCACAAGGAGTTCATTATTCAATCCTCACTCAAGACCCGAGTTTAGACCGTTTTATGTTTTCTTATACTTTAAATATATTTGTTATGAATTACTCCATATCTATGGAGTCGTTCTCTTTAGGGTTTGATGGATTTGGTGTATTGATGATTGTTTGTGGATTATAACTCTAATTTTATGTATTGAAGCATTTTTGGATGATTTAATTGATGCATCTACCTTCACTAGTTCATGTAATCGAGAGAGGCATAACTTGTGATATCTTTGCATTGTATTGTTGGTTGAGTTCTTTAATTCTTCTTAGTAATCGAAAGAGACTAGTTGAATCATTGATTAAACCTAGTTAGGAGGATAATCGACAGAGGTTCTCCTAAACACCAATCCACTACGCATTCTTGCATATCTTCACGTGCTTAAATTGGTTCATTTTGTGAGGCACAACTGATGGTTGAGAAGGGGTGTGATACATACTATACTATCTTTGACTAGCGAGCATAATTAAAGTGATGTTTTGCGCTTGTCAAGTAGCTACTAGAAGTCCAATTGCATTGGCTGCAAAATTCAACTTGACTCCTACAAACATTCTCCATGCTCTTGTTTCTCATGACATGGATGCTTTGAGAGCTCTGGATAATCCAAGGCATAAGCAAGGAGCTTTAGTTACTGGATTGGATCCTACTAAAGCTTTTGGCATTGATACGGGGCTTGATTTCTATGAAGAAGGGGAAATGGAAGAATAACTTGATGCATCATTTGCCAATATAGCCAGGGAAGGGGATCTTTCTCCTAGACACTTGAGAAGTGGTTCTAACAAAAGCAAGAAGAAGACACATGAGAGGCAACATAGTTGGGATGGCAAGGTCACACAAGAAGTTATCATTAGGCAACTTCCAAAGAGAGCTGCAAAGCAAAAGACGGCTTCCCCTACCACCTCCAAAAGATCAAATAGATCAAAATCAATTGATAAAGTTTTAAGAATTGTTGAAGATAGTTGAAGAAGAAGTCGAGAAGTTACAAGTTGAGGAGTTCACTAGGTTGAAGGAAAGAAGGGCAAGACTATAATTTTTACCTTGTTTTATTCTATCATTTTGTAAGCATCATCATATCTAATATCATCATAGAGTATTATAAACTCTATGATGCTTATAGAGTACTTAGTTCATTCTAGTTCTTATTTTTCTACATATTTGCTAGTAGATGAGGTTGTTCATGCTTCAATAAGAATTGTAAGGTAAGGTCTAGCAGAGTACGTGTTTGCTATTTGTCCTATGCCTTTGGGAAATGTCCAAACGGCTATGAGATCATTCGCCCTCTTGAGACATTGCCGACAGCCACACCATGAGTCTCATCCTGAGGCTGCCATCATAAGGCAATGGAGGCACGTACGGATGATTATATAGCCATGGCACAGAGGCAACACTACTGTAGATTTTGCCCCCTTTACTTGTACTCTTCCTTTGTGGTTTTTTATTTTTATTATTTATAATATAGCTACTAGGCAGCCCTCCTAATAGTATAATTTGCCAAAAAAATGCAGAAAATAAATGTTATAGAACAAATTCTGAAAACAGCCTAGGGAGAAGCTTTGGCGATTCTGGGCGATTCTGAGGTGACCAGAGAGAGAAAGAGCTTCAATGGTCATGTCAGCCATTGGCCAGCCTCTAATTGAGGTTGGTCAGTCATCTTCATACTCTAAAAAACCGTCATAAACACCTACAAACCCTAGTTCGATACCTAACTACGCGAAACTTTTACAGACCCAAGCTTTAAATGCCCCTATGTACGTACAAAATATAAACCTAAATCCAGTCGAATACCTACATGGAGAATCAATGGTGCGATGGAAGAAAACAGAAGTTAAGCAATCATTAACGTAACAAGGATTACATCTTGCAGTTCTGGGCAAGTTTTCCTATTGAAAACCAATGATACACGAGTTAAGGAAGGTTATCCCAATTCATTGTGAATTAAAAGGCCAATGTTCAATCGGTTTGATTGATGATATGCATGTTTTGATCAAGCTGTCGTTAATGGAGGATTATATTCATTTGTTGTCCAATCCAGCTTTTTATTTGAAGGCTGATGATATGCACTAAATGGAGCCCATGGTGGAAACCGGACGTGGAAACTCCTATAGCAATTGTTTGGATATCGGTTCTGGATCTTCCTCCAAATTGTTTTGCTAAGGACTTTGTGTTTTCTTTAGCCAATGCAGTTGGTAGGCCTCTCCATGTTGATTTGGCCACCCAAAATGGTACAAGGCCTAGTTGTGCTGAGGTCAAGGTTGAGGTGAACTTATTAGCCACATTGCCTCAAATGATAAAGATTATTGAAGAAGAAGACGAGACAGGTCCTGAGGAGTCGAAATGGATTAAAATTAAATACGATAACATGCCTAAATACTGCAAGACATGTAAAAAAACAAGGCCATAATGAGAGTGAATGATGCATAATTCATCCAGAGTTGCATAAAAAGTTCAATGAAGAAGGGGATGATCAAGGTAAACAGAAGGTTGTGGTTGTGTAAAGTGATGCAATTGGTACTGCTGTAGCTGCTACGAAGGTCTTAATAGGTGGAAAAGTATAGGGAAAACCATTACCAAATACTACGAGGAATGAATGGATGCAAAGGAGAAAGAATAAATATCAAAGAGACATTAGATGGTACATTATTGATGATGCTAGGAATGATGCTACAATGACTACTGTCAAGCCCCAAAATCGAGGAGCGCGACCGGCGCTCAACTGAGTGAACCCGACCAAGCAAGCCTGTTAGATTCCTTCTACCCAAACTCATTCATGAATAAAGAAAATATATGTTTTCCTTAATTAAACAATAATGTGGTCATGTCTGCAATTACCAATTCATTTCCAATTATTTCATCATTTTTAAAGTATCAAATGGACAGTAATACATCCACAACATAACATAGTTTGTCTTTCCCCAGCACCAATACACAACCCACACTATGTCTACGGAGTCTCTATAGATAAATAAGAGTACAATGATAATGCCTGCAACAACGCCCCGGCTATACCTCAACCATAATATATAAACATCAAAAAAGGTGTACTACTATCACTGATCAATGTCTCCTGCTGTGGAACCACCTACATCCATTTAAAGATACAGCGCCCCCGACAAAAGGGATGTTAGTACCGTCGAATAGTACTAGTATGAAAACTTAACACCAATTTAAGAATTTAGAAATACAAGATAATTATGATGAACCAGTGCGGCAATAGAATAATATAGATAACTGTCTAAACCATAGCAAGCTTATTAGAAGCTATCAACATTTATAGGATTTAAGATGAGGTCCTATGTAACCATTTTCACACAAAGCAGCCACAGCGCCTCACCTGATGTATGCAGGTGGAGGTGTACGTACAATACCACAACTCTAATCAAGCGGCCCTGCCGCCTCACCCCTATGTATGTGGGTGGTGGTGCCCCAACAATACCAACACTATACACAAAGCGGTCGTACCGCCTCACCCCAATATAAGCGAGTGGAGGTGCAGTCCCACAATATCATAATCCCTACACAAAGCGGTCATGCCGCCACACCCCAATATATATACGGGTGGAGGTATATCACAATCACAATCTCTATACCATAATCCCCACATAAAGCGGTCACGTCGCCTCACCCCAATGTATGCGGGTGGAGATATAGCACAATCACAATCTCTATACCATAATCCCCACATAAAGCGGTCATGCCGCCTCACCCTAATGTATGCGGGTGGAGGTGTATCACAGTCACAATCTCTACACAACTTGGCATAATACCTTTCACATAAATCACGACTAGAAATTATAACATGTGGATACGTAATCCATAGTTGGGGACACATCCTCAATTTATAATGCAATATGATAAGAGAATTTGAAATATGAATGGGACATATATCTTCATCAAAAAATTTATCGAAATACTCGATTTATAATCAACATCTCGGAACTCACAAGGATAATGAGAATTTCAACTCTTAAAGAAGAGTTTAGCTAACATACCTTGATGGTGCTGTTTAGTGCTACTAAAACCACCTACTGCTCTTACAACTTCAATCTACATCAACATAATTCAATTGGTCCAATATTAGTAACAAATTCCATAATTTAGGCCATTTAGGCATTTTATCAAACACCTAGTAGGTATGAATCTCTACATATCTTACCCATAGAATTAGTTCATCCAACTACTACCATTTACCAACAATTTATCCCACCATCATTCTTAAACAATTCATAACTTCCAACATCACATACATGACCATCCATCCACACCCAACCAATAAAATTTCATCAATTAATCACCTTTCAATCTCTACAATGGATATTTTTTTAAATTGGGAACTTATGGCTTCCAATCACCTTACCATAAGTTCCAATACTTAATTCATACTCATATTTCCATAATATATCTATACATGTAAGTCTAAGGGTGTAGGATTACCTTTTGGAAGAAATCTTGCAAAACCCTCCTTTGAGTTCTTGAAGAACTTTCTTGAAGATCTATGTATTTTATGGAGGATTGAGTTAGTTTTGGGGTGGAATTGATGGAATGAAACATAAAATTAGTAGGTATTACTCACCTTGAAGATGGGGGGAGTTGGAGGTCTTAAGAGAATGGAGGAAAACCCCAAAGTTCGGCCAAGAAAAATGTGGTAAAATGACCCCCGAATGAGTATATAGCGTTACAAGCGTTACAGGCAGCGTGGAGAGCTACCTGTGGCCCAATTTCCAGAACCTCAAAAATCCCAGCACCAGGGCTAGCGCCCCACGCTACCCTCGGCGCTGGCGATGAGAAATCTTTTCTATTTCGCCTGGAAATGGACATAACTCTTTCATACGAAGTTCCGAATTCGACGATTCTTTTTGCTACGGCTCCGTAATTTCAATACGGATCTAATTCTTCAATAAAAACTGAATTTGGAGCTCATTTGATTATTGTGATACCACATATACTCGAGGAAGTGACGTCAAAACATCCTAGCAATATCCAAATTAAATTCCAGCCATACGCCGGAGTCCAAAATCACCATCCGGACCTAACAGAATTTACCAAAACTCCGATTCGAGGTCGATTACAAAAGAAAACTCAAACTTGATCATAAATCCCATGGGTCTCCTTTAATACAAGAATACGTTATTCCCAAATACCATTGCCGGACATTAAAAATCTTAAATCATTAGGAAATTTTAAAGGGGCCTTACAAATTCATTTGCGAAATTTTATGAGGTTTTACACTTAAGTACTTCGAAATTTTCTGGGGTGTTACATTCTCCCCTGCTTAGGATCATTCGTCCTCGAATGAGGGTCAAAATCCATCATTAGAATTCAGTGTTTCCCAATTGTTAGTTCACACACACAAGGAGTTTCGAAATTTGGCTATCTCCCTAAATTTTCATAACTTTCGTCAGAGTCTCCCCTGTAACTGGGCCTATCCACCTGTCAGAGAGCCCCAAAAACACATCCTAACAGCATATACATAATCCAACAACGTAACCTTATACAAAACAACACCAATTGTGGCCTCACAAGCAATTATATTACCAGAACGGAGCACCCTTAACACCAAATGTACAAGTCATACATATTTCATAGGAATATACCTTAGCATTTTCATAAGTCACAACTCATAATTACATGGTTATTCAAATAAATAAGGATACTTTTTCTTCATTTCTTCTTCGGCCTCCCAAGTAGCCTCTTCAACCTGTTGGTTTTGCCATAGCACTTTCACGGATGCAATTTCTTTGTTTCTCAACTTTCGGACTTGCCGATCAATAATAGAAACTGGAATCTCTTCATAAGTCAATTCTTCATTTACCTCAATAGTCTCAACCGGAACAATGACTGTCGGGTCTCCAACTACTTTCTTTAACATAGACACATGAAACACCGGGTGTACTAATGACATCTCAGGTGGTAGCTCAAGCTTGTATGCTACCTCACCGATCCTCTGAATGATTTTGTACGGTCCGACATACCTCGGACTCAATTTCCCTTTCTTACCAAATTGCATTACACCCTTCATAGGGGAAACATTCAAAAATACCCAATCATTTTCTTTGAATTCCAAATCTTTACGACGAACATCCGAATAAGATTTCTGACGACTCTGAGTAGTCTTCAACTGCTCCTTAATGATTTTAACTTTTTCCATAGCCTGATGCACAAGGTCTAGCCCTATCAACTTTGCTTCTCCAATTTCGAACCACCCAATGGGAGATCTACATCTCCTACCATATAAAGCCTCGAACGGTGCCACTTGAATGCTAGCATGATAACTATTGTTATATGCAAATTCTATGAGTGGTAAATGTTCATCCCAGCTACCTTTGAAGTCTATAACACAAGCGCACAACATATCCTCAAGCGTCTGAATAGTTCGCTCTGCTTGCCCGTCAGTCTGCAGGTGAAAGACTTTACTGAGATTCACCTGAGTACCGAAACCTTGCTGAAATTTCTTCCAAAAATTAGCAGTGAATTGTGCTCCCCTATCAGAAATGATGGAAACTGGGGTGCCATGCAACCTGACTATTTCTTTGATATACAACTGAGCATACTGCTCCACTATGTCAGTAGACTTAACCGGCAAAAAGTGTGCTGATTCTGTGAGTCGATCAACAATTACCCAAATTGAGTCAAACTTGCGCGGAGTGCATGGTAATCCTACCACAAAGTCCATATTAATCATTTCTCATTTCCACATTGGAATTTCTATGTTTTGTGCCAACCCACCGAGCCTTTGGTGTTCAGCTTTCACTTGCTGACAGTTCGGACATCTTGCTATAAATTCCGCCACATTCCTCTTCATATCATTCCACCAATAGACTTCCTTAATATCATGATACATTTTTGCAGAACCTGGGTGCAAAGAATACCTAGAAGTGTGAGCTTCAATCTAATTTCTTTCACGGAGACCATCCACATTTGGAACACATAGTTGCCCTTGGTACCTTAGTGTACTATCATTCATGCCAAGAGAAAAGGCCGTGGTCTTATGTTTATGAATCCCCTCTTTCAATTGCACCAATAATGGATCGTTGTATTGCTTCTCTTTGACTTCCACAACAAGCGATGATTCAGCCATATTTTGCACAATTACCCCTCCTTCACTAGAGTCCGTAAGACGAACTCCCAAACTAGCCAATTAGTGAACTTCTTTGGCTAATGGCCTTTGATATGCCTCCAAATGTGCTAAGCTACCCATAGATTTTCGGCTAAAAGCATCCGCCACAACATTAGCCTTCCCTGGATGGTATAAAATATCAATGTTATAATCCTTGAGTAATTAAAGCCATCTTCTCTACCTCAGATTCAATTCCTTCTATTTGAAAATATATTGAAGGCTCTTATGGTCCGTGAATATATCCACATGGACCCCATATAAATAATG